TGTGTGTGTGTGTGTGTGTGTGTGTGTGTGTGTGTGTGTGTGTGTGTGTGTAGACAGGTATTGGAACTTGAATTCAGGGTCTCATGTTCTTGTTTGATCTTTTTACTCAAGGCTGTTACTCTACCACTTGAGCTACAGCTCTACTTCTGGTTTTTGGCTTTCTCTTCTTTTCTTTTCTTTTGTGGTTTGTTATAGTTAAGAGTCTCAAAAACTTTTCCACCTGGGCTGACTTTGAGCCACAATCCTCTCAGATCTTAGCCTCTCGCCCAGCTAGGATTCCAAGCATGAACCACCAGCAGCCAACTTCATTCTTGTTCTCTTTAAGCATGTATGCAGGGCTGAGGGAGGCAGGGAGGCAGTGAGCCACAACAGTCTAGGAGTGCTGTGTAGGTGAGAACTCTCAGGTGCTTTTGCCAGGGAGCTTTAGAAACCCTTCCTTCTTCCAGTTTCTGGGAACATGTGGAGGTTCATGGTTGCTGCTTAGTAGGCATGAAGCCTAAATCACTGAATGCCAGGGACAATGATCAAACCTGGGTTTGCTCAGAGCCAACGTGGTAGCTGAAGTGTCATGTCACAGGCTGCAGAAGGAGAACCAGTTTTCTCTCTCACTGCTGCTGGCTACTGTGGCCAGTGGCTTCTGTTCTCCATTGCACTGTGATCCTAATGTTCCCTATTGTCTGTTCCTTCTTTGGTCTGTGGTTTTGCCCACACCAGTTTGTGTTTGGAAGGGGAGGGAGAATGTGCCAGGGTCTCTGAGGAGCCCAGATCCCAGGGCTACGTCAGCAGCCCTAGGTATCACTGCCTGGACTCGAGCTATTGCCCGATAAGTCAATAAAGCTGTCCCCTTAATATTCAGGATGCCTTGTGAACAGGTGAGTCTGACGTGCGCAAGTCCCTCATGTAATGGTGCAGTCATGTGTTGTGTAATGATAGGGATGCATTTTAAAAACTTTGTCACTAGGAGATCTGGTTGATGTGTGAATATTGTAGTATTGTTACACAACTTTCATGATGTAGCCTGCTGTATACAAGGCTATATGGCATACACCATTGTATATGTGGTCCTTGTTGACTGATATTGTCATGTGGTGTGATTGTTTGCATAACATGTAATGTGATATAAACAGTTGCTATACTGTATTGTTTAGGAGATTGTGATATGAAGAAAATCTGCACCTGTTCAGTTCAGATACAATATTTTTATTTATTTATTTCTATTTTATTTTATTTTTTGTTGGTCGTGGGGCCTGAACTCTGGGCCTGGACACTGTCCCTGAGCTCTTCAGCTCAAGGCTAGTGCTCTACCACTTGAGCCACAGTGCCACTTCTGGTTTTCTAGTGGTTTATTGAAGGTAAGAGTCTCACAGACATTCCTGCCCGTGCTGGCTTTAAACTGGGATCCTCAGATCTTAACCTCGTGAATAGCTAGGATTACAGGTGTGAGCACCAGCGCTTGGCACTTCTTTTTTTTTTTTTATGTGCTAGTACTGGGGTTTGAACTCCGGGCTTGGGTACTGTCCCTTAACTTTTTCACTCAAAGCTGGCACTGCCACCTGAGCTACAGTTCCCACTTCCTGCTTTTTGCTGGTTAATTGGGCATAAGAATCTCATGGACTTTTCTTTCTGGCTTCAAA